TGCTTGTGGATTTCAATGGCTTCCCTGTGCAGTCTGACGTAATGATTGCTGGTGTTGTCCAGTATTTCAGTATTTTGAAATAGAATTTCAACCATCTCAACAGCATCCACCCAAATATACAATTCACCATGGAAAAAGAAACAGAGGGCCAACTCCCGTTCCTAGATGTCATGGTCCTACGCAAAACTGACCTCCGACTGGGACACAAGGTCTACAGAAAACCCACCCACACAGACAGGTACCTACACAAAAACTCCAACCACCACCCACGGCAAAAAAGAGGCATAATCAAAACACTGGTAGACCGTGCAAATCGGAACTGTGAAGCTCAGTTTCTCAACACTGAACTCGACCACCTGAATTGGGCCCTACAGGCAAATGGCTACTCCAAAAATGAAATCACAAGAGCCATCAAACCAAGAAAACAACACGGAACTGAAGAAGAAAAACAGCCACCCACAAACAAAGTATTTCTGCCATACATCAAAGGGGTCACAGACCGCATGGGGAAACTTCTGGAAAAACACAACCAAAAAACAGTATTCAAGCCCACCACAAAAATATAACAAATGTTATGGTCAGCAAAGGACAGAAGGGACCCCCTCACCACTGCAGGAGTATACCGGATACCTTGCAGTTGTGGCCAGGTATATATTGGAACCACAAAACGAAGCATCCACACCAGAATCAAAGAACATGAGAGACACTGCAGACTAAAACAACCCCCTAAAACAAACTGGACATGTAGGTGGTATATTTGAAGGTTGGTCACTTTGGTGAAGGATATAGTATTATTTACACAAACCCCACTCATTGAAAAGATCAAAATGGCCTCCAAAAAAACTAAAGCACCAAATGCTGGAGACCTTTCTTGCCCAGTCTCAAAGTTTCGGAAAATTAGTGGCACAAAAATCACACAAAGAATGGCAGACTACCATGCAAAATATAACAGCAGGATTTCAGAAAGTAAATGAACGTCTTAGCCAAATAGTAGATCAGATGAAAGAGATGACATTAGATGTCAAACAACAGTTAAATGAAACTCCACTAACCCCAGACTTCAGGAGTTAACCTCAAGGCAAAATCCAGAGCCAGAGTCCCGGAGGCACTTAATGTCTTTCTGGCAACTCCTGCAACATCGCTGGAACAAGTTGTATTGGCTTTTGTCTTTCCATTGAACTATTTCAGCGATATGGAGAGGGGAGGATTTCCTGCTTGGGTAACAGTCTATCCTCCATATTATTTTACCCAGGCTTCGTGATCTGGAGAGGACACTCCAGCTTCGCATACAGTGTTGAAGTCCTCCATACAGAGCACGTTACCATAGTCTCTCGAAACTGAAGGCCTATGAACCCCAGAATTGCTTCTATTGAGTATGATACCAGGCAATATAGATGAGATAAAGAGTTATCTAGTGATCTATATAGCTACTACAGTCAGAAAGCTTTATGCTAAAAATCGGAAGAAAGCAGAGATACCGAAACAAGAGGAACTTACTGAGAAGATATGGGAAGCGGCAGAAATGGATATTCTTTCAGACATGTTGAAAGACTGTACAATTCAAAAGGAAACTGAACAATGGGACTTATTATACAAATGCCTTCTGTCTCCAGATAGTGTTGGAATAACATAGATTTAAACAAAGATATAACTGCAAGTTGAAAGCCGGAGGGTAATCAAATTGTAAAAAAGCGGAAAGTTGATTTGTTATCGTAACATGAATAGATTGGATGATTGTATACTTTGTGTTCTCCTACCCCCCCAACCCTTTTTCTTTCCCCCTACTTCCTTTTACCCTTTGTATTTCTCACCTCATTCTTAGTTGATAATAAATAAATAAAAGAGTTAAAAAAAAACAATGTGGGGCTTTCAAACTTTTACTTTAATCTCCTGAGCTCAGCATTTTACAATTGCTGATAAAGTTCACATGCTTTTTGCAACAAGACAGTGCTAATCCTCAGCCCTTCACACAGTAAGCTAACCTTCATGTTATTTCTGAAGTGAATGACAATATGGCAATGCACAAATTTATTTACTTTTAAGTCACAAAGAAAAATATAATTTCTATATTAAATTTATTTATTCAATATTGGACAACATCTTGTTGGTTTTGAATAATTTGCTGTGAACACTTGTAACTTAATTGATGAGGTGTTGGGGTGCATCTTGATTGTGCAATCAGGGCCAAAACTGGACTTGTGACCAAGATCCACCCTGACATCCATTCAAGCAGATGTAGATAAACTGCAGCAAGTTACACAAACCTTATACAAGTACCAGGAAGATTCTGGCTATTGATTTTCATAAGGTTTTGTGTGTATAATTTATTATAATGTCAAGGGCAAACAATCAGAAATTCCCAGTGATTTATAATTTAATTAAAATAATTTTGAAAGGTTTTTTTTCCATTTTGGGTACCAAAGTCAATTAAACTGCAATGTGCATTCTATCCAGTGGATTTAAAAAATATTTTGAAACACTAGATACTTAAGATACTTTTTTTGATCTATGCATTTATTTTCAACAATGAGAGTTGTAATTTTATACTTGGACTTACTATTAAGTGCATTGGACTTGATGGCCTTATAGGCCCCTTCCAACTTCACTTTTCTATGATTCTATGAAAATATTGGAAATAAACTGTAAATCAATCCCCAACAAAAATGCCTGAAATGTTATTTTAGTTAGAATCCACTATAAAGCTAGATGCATAAGTTTAGCATAATAGTATACACAAGTCTGCAGGGATTCCAAAACTATTCCTTTACAATCCTTTATTTGCTGAAAAGTGCTGTGTTTTCGTTAACAGGAGGAATATATATGCCACCTTAGATTCTTTTAAAAAAATAACTACACATAATTTAATATTAAAACAGGTCAGTATTTAATACTCCTTACCTGTCAAAGGACCGAAACTGTACTGGCTGTTCAGCTGCACTGTCTCCAAGGGCTCCAAGAAAAGTTGGCGGAAGAACACCAGGATCCACCACAGCGCCATCTGCAGGTGTGCTGACCAAGCTTCTTAAAATATCCTTAACATTTACATTTTTTGCAGTTTGTACAGAGGATGCAGTTTTGTTGTCCACCTCACTCTGTGCTTCACCTCTGCTCTCCTGAGATCTACTGACCTCTGAAGATAGGGTAGACAATACTTCACTGATTGCATCTGGGCCTACACTCACAGAATGTGTTTCTGCTTCTGTGCCAGCCTCAGAATTGTGCCCTAATTCAGAATGTCCTTCCTCTTCAATACCAGAATCTCTTCTTTGTACAGACACGACACCTTCTGACTCATTAGATGCAGAAACTGAACTGGCAATAGCTGCAGGAGGGCTTTCTGTGAAAGATACACAAGACATGTCAGCGTTAGAAATGTCCTTTAAAAGAGCCCAAAGAGATGCATTATTTTATTAATGTATTACTTTTTTAAAAAAGAACACATTTATCAACAGATGATAATTTACAATGAAGACATGAAATACAGGTGGTAGTTGGGATATTATAAGGTCTCACTAGAGATGGGCGCAAACTAGAAAATCAGTAGCTTGTGAAATTTTGTGGCTAACCACGAACCACCACAAACCCGAAAAAAAGAAGAAACATTTCGCAGCTCATTTTTCCAGTTCGTGTCTGGAGGGAGGCTATCTGCTCCTGCCACCTCCCTATCCCTGGACTGGAGTTGAAATGAACTATGAATCTGGCCCTGTTTGTCAGGATTTTGTTTTTGTTTTTTGGTTCATGGTTCATTTTGTGCCCAAAAAGTTATCACTTTAGTTACGAAGAGTAGATTAAACTATGACTGCCATCATATTTATTCAAATTCATTGAGACTTAAGCTATGCTTGTTTATTTATTTATGCCTCATGTCTATCCATAAAAAGGACTGAAAGTGGCACACACCATTAAAACACAATATTTAAAAGCTAAAAACTATAAAATTTTACAAAGAATCAAATACTACACTAAAAATGGTAATAAAAATCAACACCAAAAATAGGCTCAGGGCAACAAGGCAGTTTGCATACTTACTGTTATTAGATTTAATACTGCCTTTTAATGATGTAAGTTGCCTCTTTACTTATTGTTCTTAGCTTTAAATATTGTCTTTTAATGATGTTAACCACCACTGTATTCTCATTGTTTTCTACTCTAAATATTGTCTTTCACTGTTGTAAGCCTCCTTTTGTTCTTTTTAAGGAGAAAGGTGGGGTAAAAAATACTTCAAATAATTAAATAAAAACCTTTCCCAGGCAGCTAATCAATATCATTGAGAATGGATGGTATGTCATGCCAGGAAAGGTACATGTGTCAGAAGAGCTGACATAAGCCTTTTTAAAATCTTTTCTCAATCTCTCTCTCTCTCTCTCTTTTGTCCCAGCACACTTCAATGGCTGGGGAAAAAAATCATTTGTTTGGACAAGTTTCACTAATTTTTTTCTCTCTAAAGAACAGTGCAGTTCTTCAGGTGTCACGCACTATGCTCCGTGATACTGCAACAAGGCATAACTCTTAGGGCCTGAAACAGCCCATCCTACTAAATGAAACTTGAATATTACTCTACCATGCAGCTCCATATGCAATTTTCAATTGATAAGCATTTTGTTAATATTCTTCTGCATTTTCCCCAAATTTGAATTTTGCTGAAGTGGATCATATAAGTAACACTGAGCTGTAGTTCTTGAAACCCTTTTGAAAGATTAATACCAACACAGTTTCTTCACATATTCAGCTACACACAAGGAAAGCCAAGAAAACTATTAAAAATTAATGTTCTGGGCAGAAAGCAGAAGCAACTTTGAAAAACAAATTCTGTGTGATTGCTCTTAAGTGTCCCTCAGGACTACTAAACTAACAGAGTATTTAAAAGAAGTAATTAGAAAAGGTTTCAAACATCTATTTTCAAAACTGTTAAGAGTAAGTCTAAGAAATGTTTGAACCATCCTTTTAAAAAAGCACAAACTTCATGATGTGTCCTATGAATCTATTAGACTGCAGGGTTTTCATCAAGAGTCATATCATAGAACTACACATACAGATCAAAAACATGTACAGGTATATGTATTATTTTCAATAAAATCAATGTGGAAACTAAAAACCTGCAATATCTACACAAAATATATATTCAGCCATTAAATGCCACTGTGTTCAGTAGGGCCAACTCCCAGGCAACAATGCAAAAAATCCAATTAATATAAGTCACTGACCTGTTATTGATGCCTTGAGAGACTGAATAGACTGAGTCTGCTTCCTTTCATCCTGAGGTTCCAGAATATCTCTGTATTTTGATACCATGAGGACAGAGATGAAATATACTACAGCCAAGGCCAAGAACTGTGCCTGTTTGCTATCCTCCTGTTAAAAACAACACTACAAATTAACATGCCACAAGCTGACTTGTTCAATCAATCATTAAAAACAGTATGGCCCATTGTAGATTACTTCTAGGAATCTATATTGAAGAGTCATAGAACTTTTCATTACTGGTACTCAAACTTGGCCTACATATGCTGGGGGCAGAATACTATTGTGAACTCATGCTGATGGATGTGTAAGTATGTCAATCACAGTCATGAATTTTCACTGATTAACAAGTTATCGCTCTCATTCTTAGCTACATATCAGTGGTATGAGTTGGTGCGCACAGCTAGGAATGTGAGAGCAACTTGCTAATTAGCAGTAATTCACCAATTCAAATTGTATAATTACACTTACATCAGTGTAAATCCACAATAGGATGCTGGTTAGTGAATGATGTAAAAAAAATCTTATACCACTTCAGACCACATTTGGTTAATAAGGGATTTGGAATCATTCCAATTTTATTTGGCCAAAAGCTCCTGGACGACAGTACTGTGTATCTATAGCTTGACCCATTGGGTGGGTGCCCCATGGAATACTGTATCTCATTTTATTCCCTATGATTTTTAACAGCAATAAGAAATTGTTCTAAGTCAATCAGCATTTTGGAGCCAAAACTCATTATTATACGCAGTTGATACCTATTTCAACCTCTCTCTCTAAACACCAAAGGTCCTTGTTGCAGAATCTAAATTCAAGGGTGGGTAATGACTTTATTAGACCTCCAAAATCAAACAAAGGGGTTCTAGCTTTTGAATTCTGCTGGACTCGTTAGTAGGCTGGGTGTTACAGAGTTGTGGAAGAATTAAGTCTCTCAAATCTAGGCCAAATAGAATGGCCAGCCTCTATCATTTAAAGTAAGTTCAAAAAATGAAACTGCAGCTTTGCAGATTCAGTTTGGGATGGCAACTTTCTGGTTTCACCCCAGGCTGTGTAGATTTTAATACCCTTTCCAGTCTTGATAGACAAGGACCAGATGAAGGTCTATTTCTTCTTGTAGGAACTTGTGAGATGATCATCAAAAGCTGTTCTGTGCCCTATAACTTAGAGACCATTGATAAATTTCTGTCCCAAGTATCGGGGTGGGACAATGTTATAAAACTGAAACCATCTGCAAGGACAACACTTTACGAGAATGTTGAACTTTTCATCCTGACCCCAAATCTGGGATCTGCTATTCTCACACGGTTTTATGATTCTACAGATGCTGCATTAGACTTTGACAACATGGCAAACTGTGTAAAGACAATGCTAGCTCAGAAAATAAGCAAAGCAATAAAAGGGGGAAATCTGGTAACTCACAATATCTCTAAAGACCACCGCACGAAGCCGGTTAATGTCCATATCCTGCAGAAGTCTGTCGATATCTCTTATGGGAGAAATTCCTCCAGTCACAATATCAACTGGGCTCTGATCAGAATAAAACAATATTTGAACCATGTTATTTTGTTAAAAAATGGTATGAATGGAAATAAAGTTATTACAACTTTCTCAGTATTACAACAGCAGTAACATAAGGAACATCGTTGCTTCAGATAAATTATTTTTCCTGCAGATATTAAAAGTATCTCTACATCAAAAAAAACCAAGAAATTTAACACGTTTAGGATATATACAGGATTCTTCTCTCTCTCCTTCCCCCAAAATGGCAGCATTCATAAGATGTACTATTTATTAAGTACACAAGTTAGAAAAAACTGCTTATGGTTTTCAAATGCCAGATTTTTTCTGTCCAGTCACTGAACTACTATAAATAAAGCTCCAGAGGCTTATCCATCAGGTCAAAGATAACATTATCAACATCTGCCTGCATTTAATGTCAGAAGATACTTGCCTTTGCTCCAGACCTTCCAGCTGCTATCAGGCTTTGTACTGTTTTCTGACACTTAACATTTTCTCCACTAGACTTCATTAGTGCCTGCTGCTGCTGGCACTCCAAACAATTTCTGACTGCCACTGCGCACACTAAAATAAAAAGATATAAAACACATTTGAAAATATGGAGCACTGCTAAACGTGCATGTCTACTGCAGCAAAGACACAAATTACAGATTTTCCAATAAAACTAATCCAAGTGGAAGGGGTTATCTCTCATAATAAATACTCATGACTTTTCGAAAGGATAACTTGGGAGATCTCTTCAAATTTTTTCACGACGCTATGCTAAGGAATCGATGCAGGTGTACTAACACTCTTAGCTATACAATGAGATCATATTTTCCTATTTTAAGGCAAGGGCATAACTCTGAAATGCAAAAGTAGATGTAACAGTATGAAAATTAGGATTATGTTCATGTTACACAGAAATATATTCCAATTTGATACACAGACTGCATATATTTAAAGTTGGTATCTTCAGCACAAGCAAATTCTAAAATATATCTTTATTTCAGAAAAAAGGGAATTGTTTAAAGCCTGTTTATAATACAGATTACTATTTCAAACACATACCACACTGTGACTCTATTGATTCTTCATCATCTTATTACTAAAAACAATAGCAATGATTAATATTTATGCTGAATCTTTCACATATTATTTTATTTTCTATACGGAAACCACTTTCAACCTAGATGCAAAATTCAGAATAAAACAAAAACAAAAGAAAACAAATTCAAATTTAAATCAACAGTAAAATCGGATGGCTTAACCCCATCAGCTAGGCAGCTTAAAAAATAATATATTCTTGTTCAAATAAAAGGCTTTGAACCAGCACTGAAGAGAATACCATCCCCTTTACATATCATGGCACATCTTTTACAGAATATACTCTGAGGAACTCCTTCTCTGATGCTCTTAATCCATGAAAACACTCCTTTAGCTATTTCAACTCCTATCTGTTCAAGGCTTCAAAATGTGAAATATTCAAGAGATGTACTAAAATGATATCAACCAATCCTTATCATGGCGTTCTAAGACAGTGGCATACTAACTCCAGCCTATGGCAAGTACATCTCTGAGACTGACAGAATAATGATACACCTAGGGAACATCAGAAAGTATTGAGATCTGGTGGGAACTTCCCAGGTTGTACTTGAAGTTCTTATTACCCTGAACAAAAAGTAAGCATTCAGGATTTATAGTAACCTTAGAAATGTTCAATTGTACTTCGTACCACATATGACTGTATATTTTGTCCCTCTGCTAAACATATTGGATGGATTCTTATAACAAAAATCATAACTCATGAAAATAGGTTTTAACGATAGACCACTTTTTGCTTACCAAGTCGAAGACACTGTCGTAATATTCCACCTGATGACATATTCTTCTCTGACTCTATTTCTGTAAATCCAAGGGAACTTGCAAATATTAATACATCTACAAGGCTGATTAATCTCTGGAGGAATGCTACAGAAGCTTCAATTGACAATCCTTGAGTTGGCTCAATATTTTCCAGTTCATGCTATAAAACAAAATGATGAAAACACCTTTCATTTATTTCCCACTAATTAATTTTCATAATCTGATAGTGTTTATTTAGTATTTGGTATATGCATTCTAGGTATAGCTTCTTAAAATTTCTCAGAGGAACAGCCATGTTGCATCCAAAGAAGTGGGGACTCTTTATGAAAACTTACATCAAATGTAACTAGTGTAACATTTGTTTTTTACTTTTTTCATGTCACTTGACCATGAACCTAATATGATGCAGACTACAAGAATGGAAATTTCTAATATACAATAGGCTTGTATGTAAATACTCCTCATCAGTGACCCCCACAGAAGCAAGGAGGATGGATTTTGTTAAATGGTAAAACAGATTATTTCCTACTCTGAACAAGTTTAAAGACTCTAGGCTTTTTTCATGACAACTAGGGGATAGTAACATTTATAAGCTCATTTGAACAGTGGAAAGGTTACACTTGGTATACAGTGGCTAAAATCCTGTTCATAGTCTATGCTAAATTTTAACATTTTTGTTTGATAAATAAAATACCCTTGCTGCAATTTGGGCAAGGGAGTGCTCTTTGCACATATACACATGTGTCCATAAGAATCATAGCGGGTTACTTCGTTCACTGGAGAGGAAGGGTCAGAAAGCTGTGATTTGGATTACACTATCAACAGGCTTTCAGCCAGTGGGAGCACAAGTTCCAACAAAATTACCATAATCACTATTGAGTATATGGAGAAAATATACAATTACATAGGGCATTCTTTTCTCTGTGGGTATTTTCAGGCACAAGAGCAGTATATTATTAAATATAATAAATAATAAAATGCCTGTATCTCCATGGTTTGCAGTGAAGGGAAGGAAATAGTAACTAGAGAGTCTCTGTGCCACAAAGCAAAAAGCTCACAACAGTTTATCATATCCAAGCCAGGAGAACATAAATTTAAGATGTCTTAAACATGCAGAGAATAAGAAGGAAAAGAGAGCTAGCATATAGATTGGGAGTAGAGATGGGGGGTATTCGTACACAAATACAAATATCACTGGTGCAGCTGGACCTAATGAGGGGCTGGCCTGTCCACTCATGCGTCTGGCGGCAGAATTCCTGCTCAACCAGGCCACTCCAGGAAGTGGGAGGGAGGATGAGTCTCCCAGCATGGCTGCTGAGTCGCTAGTCAAGCAGGAAGAGAGCGAAGCTCCCGGAGCGACTGGAAGGATGAGCGAGGCTGCTGCCGCAATCCAGACACGTCACTAGATGAGCTGGCCACAGGGGCCAGCCCCTCGTTAAGTCCAGCTGTGTGGGGGTATGCATATACGAATACCCCCATCTCTAATCGGGAGTCAAATAGGCTATAATTACTTTAACTTGAAGCATCCATTCCCTTCAGGTGGTAAAATCCTATGCCACACGCTGGCCCTTGCTGGAGTTCCCAAACCACTATGGACCCCTAAAGAAGATTCACCACAAGATAATAAGGAAGAGATGGAATGGCTCAAACCATTTTTACCTAAACCAAAGTTCTTTCCCAAAGAAAAAAATAGTAGCTAATACACAAAAAGGAAAAGAGTGACTATGAGCAAAATGGACAAAGCGACCATCACTGTAAATCTAGTGGCACAGCCAAAAACTCCTGCCTGGCTCTGGCTTTAAAGTGACTAGAGAGAGAGAGAGTCTGAGACTAACAAGCTGCATCACTAACATGCAAATTGGTGTGGGCCACTTCTAGCAGAATGGGGAAAGGATGCATGTTAGTGAAGCTAGAATTGGACCAGAATGATAAAGACACATCCTCTCAAGAATATAAACTTGGCTCAGTTACAAATAAGGACACAGTAAACTCAAGCTCATATTACTCAGGTTATTGCTGGTACTCCTCAGACCAACTTCTTTTCCTTTTCTCCTACCACAGACATTAACAAATCCACAGGCACATTAGAGTCAATTTGAGTTCACTCTAATGTGAAGCACATGGAGAGGCACCGTTCTGTAAAGCACCTTTCTGCATTAGAAATTGAATTTCTTACCGTTGCAGATGTAGCAGCAGAAAGCAAAGGTAATATGCCACCACAAGCCATAATCATATTATCCAGCACTTGGGAGATGAGATGAATTGTGTTATGTACAAAGATAACATTGTCACTGCTATTCACGAAGTCCATCACTGTCTTGGTAGAATGGCTAGTACAAAACAAAAACAATATAAATAATTTAGGAACTAGGTAACTTGGTTGCATTTTTAGGAAGTACTGTATTTATTTATTTTCACACTATTTTGTTATATCAGCCAAATCTCTCTCCTGCAACCAAGAACCACACAACAGCACCCTAAACTGTCAATGTACCTTGATTTTGACCTGAAAGTGCCCTTTCCTTATGCTTCTAATCTTCTCCAGAACACAGACGGGCAACTATGTCTAACTGTGTGGTGAATAATTATATATTATTATGAAGTCTGATTATCTACTGTGGCAAAAGACACTGTATAAATCATGGATGTAAGTTTCCCTCGAGATATAAACTAGATCTGAACTCAAGTCTCTTAAGATCTAGTCTTACACAAAGCTTACAAACTTCCCCTTCTAAGCAAAAGGATTTTAAAAGAAATAAAACATAAAGAAGCTTAATTCCAGTTCCACCACATTTGCTTCCTTCCATAGCCTGGGCCTCCGTTATGGCATCTGTAGCAGGGATTTAGAATTCACAGTCTTGTATTTTATCATGTACGGCTTATATTTAAACAACAGAACAACAACATCAAATTAATTTAATAGCTCTTTCTTCTCTTAGAGTCTGTTCAGCAAAATAAAATAGTTTTTAATATTGTGTTATAATTCTAGTCCGTACACCAGTATAAAAATTTGATGTATGCATCAAATGTGAACACATATAAAAGATTCATTATTCCTAATAATGTTGCATACATTGACAAATGAATCCATGCTATTAAGTACTTTGGCTGAAATCCTGTTGCTTGGCATAGCAAGACTTAACTAGAGTAGGCCTACTGAATCAACAGAATTTACAGAGGAGTTCACTCACTACGGAATAGGATTTCAGTCTTTCGAATTGAAAAATTTTTTGGAAAGCTCACTAGAACCATTTAGAATCATGTGAACATAGAAGGAAAGGTCTATCAAGTACCACTGAAGATTTGGCTTCTTTTCTTTCGTTCTAAACAACTTCTGATCTCTTCTGCAGTGACAGCAAGGCTCATTTAAACTGGGGGAGAGGGGATGAAGCTGAGAAGCAGCAAAATATCATGGAAGCCGAAAAGAAAAGAAAAGAAAAGAAAAGAAAAGAAAAGAAAAGAAAGAAAAGAAAGAAAAGAAAGAAAAGAAAGAAAAGAAAGAAAGAAAGAAAGAAAGAAAGAAAGAGGATGTGGTTCTGCTACTGATAAACTTGGTGGAAGGGAGTTCAATTTTTATCCAAAATAACCCAGGTTTCATAAAATACATTACCTTCTCCACATTTGTACATCTGTTTCAATTGAAAAGAGCAGGTCAGTGAGTAACCGCTGGTGCATTGGTGACCACCGGAATTCAGGAATACGAAACATGGTAGACCTAGAATCTCTTCTTTGTCCATCTGACATAGCTCCTGTTGTACTTTGATCTTGTTGTCTAGACGTCTTCAGAAACAAAACAAACATTATAAAAAAGTATAGTCAGGAGAAATAGACTCATCTGAGGATACATATAGGATAGTTTGTAATACTTAAAATGACTAATTCTAGAAAAAGTAAAGTATGAGGACAACATGTAAGATGTTAAACATTGCAACTAATTATACAAGTTACCTACACTACAGAGCAACTGTACCACTATTTCTGCCAGCCAAGATACACATAAGCAGCAGTTCAACCTTACCAAATAGGGTGTATATACTGCTGCTGACCATGCTCTCCCTCCTTTGAGGAAGTATGGTGTATGATGACGGTTATCCATTGGCAGGAATGTCTGCAGAAGGGAAGCACTTAGGTACATCACTGTTGAACCATTAAATTGTTTAGCATCACTAATCTGGATGCCATAGGGTAATGAGCTACATAACTGATACACATCTTGTTAATTTTAGTTTTAATATATTGAAAGAACATGGTTATATGGATACTTTACACTTTATATTCAATTTGTTGATATTTGCAATCAATCATCTAAGTTCTACACATCTTTTAGATCAACTCTTTTGAAATTAGTGATGAAGCTCACGTGAAATGAGGCTTTTTAAAATAAATTCATAAACGATCTTATTTTTTTTTTAATCCAGCTAAGCTTTTTAAATTAACTGAAGTAACATCAGTGGTATAAAACCTACCTCAGGAATTGACCGAAGGGGCTGACTGACTTCCAGACTTGTACTGGACTTTAACTCCAGTCTTTCAGTATCTGATGCAACACTGGAAACATCAAGTTTTGCTATTTTCTTGTCTGAAACCACCAATGTTTCTGAAGCATGTGGTTGCATATTATTTACAGTTGTTTTGGTTTGAGGATGGTCAGTATTTTCTTCATCTATCTTCTCCACAGCATTTGAAATTGGTTGAGTTCTTCCATCGTTTATTTCAGAAACACTGATCTCTGGCAATGAATCTGGTTCTTGTTCTGTTTCCACAGATGCCTCATTACCTTTGGATTCTAAAGCTACAGAAACAGGTTCTTCTGATGTACTAGTATTCTGTGTTATTGCTAATGTCCCCTGACCTTCTCCCATGGAATGGTCTTCACCAGGTTTAGGAGCACATTCCTCTGAGGTAAAGGGTAGATTGCTCTCCTCTTTTAAATCAACAAAATCTTCCTCTTCCTCCTCCAGTTCTGGGGTCAGCTTTCCTAACATCTCTGGGCTTTCAAGCACCTCTCCCTTAGCATTTTCTAAAGGTAACTGTGCATTAGTGATAGTGACCATTTCATCCTCATTATCTGTTTCAACTGTTCCAGAAGTGCCTTCTGAGCCCTGTTTTATCGTTTCAACCTGATGTTCTAAGCAAGGAGCTTTATTAAAATCAGGGGTTTTCTGATCATTTTCCATTTCAGTTCTTTTCTCTTCATTCAATTCTGAATTAGTTTTAGTTGATTCTTCAAAATTGGATAATCTGTCTTTATCTGTCAAAGTACCATTCTTGATATTACCATTTCCAACATCATTTGCAGAAATATCAACTTCTTTTATTTCTAAATGTGGATGTCTTGCTGTAACATCAGTATCTTTACTAGTCCCTGAGATAGTTCTAAGCAGTGTTGATGGACCAGCACCACACCCCTCTTTTTGCTGATATTCTGTAAACATCTGTGAAAGCCTTTCTTTGTGCATTTCATAAGATACCTTTAAGGAGAACAATTTCAGTTTAGTAATTAGAGTTTAGAATAAGAATATCCTATAAATTTCATCATTCACACTTAATTAAATTAATAGGTGAAAGTCTGCAGAGCTATCTTTCATATATGCCATTATCCTTTTGTGCCACAAGATTATTTGTGGCACGTAGTTTAGGGTTGACAGAATTCCTAAACACTATCTGATCACTTGAATGCTAGATTTTGTAGGAACAGAAACCTCCACTATTATTGGCATTTTGCTACCAAAATGCCATTTAATCTAGATCTCATGGCTAAAACTTGTTTTGATTTTGAAGACAGCATTGCACAATCAATTCAAGTTCTATCAAGCTATTCAAATTGCACAGTTACTATCAAACTGAGTTAGAAACCAATTCCATCTCTACTAACTTGGCCACCATATACATGTTCAATGTAACGGGAAATTAATCAAATATCTGCCACTATTAAACCAGTATTAGACCAAAAGGTATATGAAAATACATATCACCTCTGTCTGAAGAAAATATTCCTAAAGTCAAGATTCACTCATTGTTATCCACTTATTTAGCTCTATACAGATAACTATGCTGAATATTAAAGTAACTCAAACAGGAAAAATGCATGCGTATTTTTAGAATATAATAATGCATGGGTTACTGCCCTGAGACCAAGCAAGCACACTTAAATTTTTATGTGTTATTTTTCTGTTATATATAATGAAATTTCTATACTACACTAACAATTCAGATGACATGTAGGAGACACGATAACGTCAACACTGTATGAAGAATTTTCTTGGGTGGAATCTCAGTGGATATGAGCTTCTGTACTGAATATGCAGTCACCAACATTAGAAAAAATAGACGGGGTGAAAGTTAAGTAAGATTTCTAGGTAAACACCCATCCATCCAGATTGAACATGAGGCAATAGCCATTTGTTAAGCAAGAATCAGTATTTTGATCCTAGTTGCTATTATGCATTCATGTACTTCCGTTTAGTCCACTTTCCTTCTTCTATATCAGTAATATATTTTTCATTCATCCTGACAAAGAAGTGATGACTTGAAAGATTTATAACTCAGATTTTTAAGATTCATTTCCTGAAGAGATGTGCTAAGCCCTGTAAAATTTCTTCATCAGCTTACCTAGCATCTGGAGCACTAAATAAATATTCCCTTAGGCAAACGAGTTGCAAGGACAGTAAGCTTTGTCAAGGAAATTCATGGACACCTCCTCATTCAGTAAACATAATACACATCTTTCTCTTGGATCTTAATAAAAAGTATTTGTCTCACTCATCCTCCTCCAACTTGGTACCCTCCCTACACTGGACTACAATACCCACTATCTGAACCTACTTGGCATCATGACTGGAAGCAGTAATCCCCAAGACATCTGGAGACTGCCAGGCTGAGGAAGGGTTGTTTAACTAATACATGAAACAATGGTATGCAACAATTATCACAGTATTTCATTTTTTTAGCATTTATCTCTTCTCCAGGAGAAGCACCAAACACAATACAAGATAAAAGTAATATCACTAATAAGGATAAAATCAGCCTTAGATACCATCCCACTATATCATTTACTTATTATTAAAATATTTGTACTTCCTTTTTCTATTAAAAACTCAAGATGGGAAATAGTCATCAAGATATGACATTTCCCTAGGTTGAAATCTGAACTACAGTACAGTAGACTGTACTCTTTCTCTTTCTCTATCTTTTTTTTTTTTTGTATACCACCATCTTGGAAACCTTTTGTTTAGTACTAATTTAGTATAAATGCATTTTATATATTTTTTAACTTGTTTTAACTAATGTAAGCCGCCCCGAGTAGACCTTGTCTAGAGGGGCGGGGTAAAAATCGAATAAATAAATAAAGAAATAAATAAATAAATAAATAAATACTATGACTGTCATCATCAGACTAGAGCTCGGAGACACAGTATATGTCTTGCACACAAAAGTCTCTGAGGTAGCCACCATTTCCTGTGTTTTCATACCTGTAAATCTATAGTCTGGGTCTACAAATGTAGATCCAGATTCTATGATTACAGCTATAAACCCAAAGGAAAATCAGTGGCTACACCAGAAATGTCTAATATCAATTACTGTAGGCAATATGCTCAACTAAGCTCAAAACCAAAGCTTACATGTACACATTAGCATACTGTTTTGAAACATGTACGATCTAGCTTCCTTCTTAGTGGCTTCTATAAATTAATGTTTTTCATCCTTGCCTTAAGACTAGCTTATAACCCACCCACCTCTCGTTATCATATTTTCTTGTCTTTTAGGAAAGCTTACACAAGAAAGATGCTTTTGGAACTCATATGTTTATCTTTATGCCTAAAATAAGGCCTTCTCAAAAGGAAGAAAAATATTACAAAGACATTTAAGAAACTGTTAAAAGCACACAAATTGTGATGCAGCAACTTGGAAGTTGTAACATCCAAGTGAATTTCATATGTACCAGGATCTCATCATTTTATACTTCCCTCTAGGTGTTTGAAAATGTGAAGCTGATAATTCACAATTAATTGGAAGATATTGCTCTAAATTAGCAAGCTAAAAGGCCATTCATTAATCTTCACCCTCATTTGAAGCCTAATCTATAGTCATTTACAACATTTGGAAAGCTCCTCTATGCACTACTAGTTAAAGAGAGTTGCAAGCTAATGAATACAGTGTTCACCTCCACCATCAATTTCAACTTAATTTGACATGTAACATTCACTAATTGCTAAACAGAAAGATTAGAATGCACTATATAAAAGGTTATAGTGACATATTTGGTGCTACAACCAAAGAACATCATGACGAAAATTTAACTATTTAGGAAGATTTAGCGTTTATTATTCCCTATATTTTATGAACATCACACATAGGATGAAATCAAGACTGAAGTAGAAAGGAGACTGACCATCCAGCCAAGCAACACAGCACCTTTTAAGAAAGTTTTCATGGAAATTAACTCCTGTGCTAAACTCCATCAATAAGCTATTCATAATTCCAGCAAATGTTACCATTTTTTATCCTAACGAGAGCTTTATTGACCTGTTTTTCCACCCTCCTAGGAGCAATGTTAACAGTTCAGGCCTGGAAACTCTCCACACCATTTAGAAAACAAATCAACGTTGACTGGAGGCACCAATACCTGCTGATATCAATCCCAGGGAAATGAATCAGTCAAAGAGGAACAGAAGTACTGTATGCACAAAAGGCTTTACACATTCTGGCACTTCACCTAACATAACAAATCATTTGGCCCCCACTGATAAGCTTCTTACAACACAGATCAAAGGACTATATGACCAAGCAACAGAGTTTAACAGTCAAAATAAAAATGGAATTATATTTTTAATGTCCCATTAAAATTTTTTAAATGATGAGATTTATTATTACAACCATACCATAAAGTGATTATTGCACTGTTATAAACAAATATAGGAGTAAAAGAACAAAGACTATAGTTTAGGAAATGCTGTTGCAAGACTGTGGATTTTTAGTCTGTTCCTCAGATATGAGCAGACAGATTGCATTGGCTGCATCTGTCACCTTTTACTTTCCATTTCACTCTGTCACCACCCATACAATGAGGGCATTTGGTTGCCTTTGTGAGGAAATACCTCTAGCCAACTGAATTGCTGGACTCTTTATGAGTCTTGTTTTCATTGCTGTCCTCACCTGATACTCGGCTTTCATCTGTGACTAAACGTAGCTGTAGCAACATCACAGGCAGGCTAAACCAGGTAAGTGTAACCTGGATGACTTTATGGAGCATGCCAAACCCAGCATATGAAGACCAGCACGGATGACAAAGAGTCCATTACAGATTCAACAGAAAATCAGCCAAACCAGCAATGCATTGTAGATTATGGTGAAAACAGGAAATCCTTTGAAGCAGTCAAAACCTTCTATGGTCCCTAACCTATGGCCATGTCACCCCTCAGCTCCAATGGCTTAGTACTCATCATGGAGAGGTCACAGATTTTGCAACATTTTCAAAATGTATTGATCAGACCATCTGAAATTAGTGAGAATGCAATTAGCATGCTGTCATAAGACTAATCAGCAGTTTCGCAGACGCAGCAATACACTTCTCCGGGAATTGACACACCTACTTCAAGAAATGTGGACACAATACAAAATCTTTCAGGATTTCAAAAATGCAACAACTGTCTATCTTTATAAAAGGAAAGGCAACAGTCAACGTTGTGACAGCCACTGAAGCATCTCACTCTGCAATACTGCTGGGAAAATTGTGTCAAGCATCCTTCTGAATCATCTCATAGGGCACTTGGAGAGAGGCCTCTTACCAGAAATTCAGCATGGCTTCCATAGAGAATGAGGGACTGTTCACAAAGTGGTTGTTGTGGGTTTTTCGGGCTCTTTGGCCGTGTTCTGAAGGTTGTTCTTCCTAATATTTTGCCAGTCTCTATGGCTGGCATCTTCAGCGGATAGCGCTCTGTGCTCTCGTGTAGTTGGCTTGGGAGTGCAGTATTTATGGCTGGGAGATAGGCTTTTGTCTTTTTCTGTAGATGGGTGATTAGTGTGTCTTGTTGTGGGAGTATTGTTGTGCTAAGGAGAAGAGATTATCTGTCACTGTGGTTGATGGGTGTCATTAGCTGGTCTTTTGTGTGTAGTGATCCCCTGTCCTTGTGGCTGGGTAGAGTTTGTTGACCTTTTCCACGCTGTATTTTTGAGAGCTGGGAGCCAAGTTTTGTTGAGCTTCACACTTTCCTCTTTTTTGTTGAAGTTCTGCTGGTGCTTGTGGATTTCAATGGCTTCCCTGTGCAGTTTGACGTAATGATTGCTGGTGTTGTCCAGTATTTAACAAACTCTACCCAGCCACAAGGACAGGGGATCACTACACACTTGTTCTCAAAAATACAGCATGCAAAAGGTCAACAAACTCTACCCAGCCACAAGGACAGGGGATCACTACACACAAAAGACCAGCTAATGACACCCATCAACCACAGTGACAGACAATCTCTTC